TATTTTATTTTTTAAATTTATTTTCATTGTTGGAAGTATTACAGATGTCTCCATTGTTTTTTTTCCCATTGACACCCTCCACCCCGAAAAAATCAATAAAATATATTTAAAAAAAAAATATGGGTTTAATATGGTTGAAACTAAGGCACAAGAAGGCCCCTGTTCTACTCAACAACAAAGGACACCAACTTCATTGCATTCAGGGTCCTTTGCTCAGGTGGGGCGGTGCTCTGCTCCTGGGGTTGGAGCCATCCTCGCAGGTTCCCAGAGCTGCTCTCAGTCAAGCCCTGGGGATGACAGTTCAGCAACAGGAGGAAGCTCATTTCTGGAGGCAATGAATCTGCTCTCTGACTTCACTGTCTCTCACTGAAAGTAGTAAACCACAGGGGCCATTCTGGGTCAATAGTAGCACCAAAATAATAATAATAATAATAATAATAATAAAAAATTAAAAAATAAAAATAAAAAAAGTCAGGGCACCATGTGTGAGAGCCAGTCATTCCACTGGGCATGCTTTTTTGTTGTTGGATTGAATGCTGTGTAGCAATTCATTGTAGATCCCATTATGGTTCATGGGTAGAGGATGCATGTTAGGAGCAGAATATTTATTTAAACTCTTTTTTTTTACAAAGATAAAAAATTTCTGTGGTTATTTAATGATTCTTTTGTCATGGAAATGCCTGTTCTGGGCCTGCTACCTATGCCTGTTTATCATGAAGTTAATCCTATTATCTATAATAATAAATGCATAACATGCTAATTAGACCGAACAGCCGAACAACCTTCTGGACGACCTCCTGGATAAAGCTGGGGCTGCGAGGGCCGAGCCCCTTGCACGAATTTCATACATTGGGCCTCTCGTTGTTGTTGTTTTTTTATTATTTCCTACTTCATTTTTTTAAATCTTTAGTGTTGAAAGTATTACATAATTCCCCCTTTTTCCCCCATTGACCCCTAGTAGCCCATCTGCTATCCCCACCCCAGGCCTTCACCACCCTATTGTCCATGGGATTTGCATATATGCATACAAGTTCTTTGGTTGATCTCTTCCCACCCACCTTCCCCACCTTTTATATGACGTGACTGAATGAAATGGAATTATTGTCTCCATTGTGGGGATAAGTTATTTACTCAAATTGGGTGAATGAGCAGTGACTATTTCGAAGATTGGTATTTGGAAAATTTTCATGAGCAGCTTTCTGACAGATTTAATGCTGTTGTGGAAGGTTTAATGTATTTCTTTACATTTTTATCCTATAGAAAAATACCTGTTAATATGAAAACACAGCATCAAATATAAAACAATGAAGTCATCCAAAGGCCATTGAAATGTAGGCATGTAGTGTTTTACGGTAGTTTTTCCAATTGCAAAGTAGGGGTTGTATTTGCTGTTTAATATGGGTTTAATATTGCCGAAACCGGTTTGGCTCAGTGGATAGAGCGTCGGCCTGCGGACTGAAAGGTCCCAGGTTCAATTCCGGTCAAGGGCATGTACCTGGGTTGC